ATCTAGAACTATCAGTTTCTTGGGATGCTTTTATGATTGGGAATTACTGCTGGATGAAAAAGCGGTAAATTACCGACATCTACAAACGATATCGGAAATAAAGAAGAATGATTAAGGGGGAAAAGTTCCATAAGCAATTACAGTAGAGGAAAATGATAAAATTTTAATATTAGAGTTTAAGAGAATAATAAAAAGGTTCGTTCTTGGACACTTAACAACTAATATTTATGTTCTTCATAACCGAGTTTATGTCCCAGAAATTGCCATGGAAAATAAACTGTACGTGATAAAAAAAGTATCATTTTTTGTTTGAGCTCACCAAACACATACATAGCAGTTGGAACATTGCATGCATTGCAAACATTGTTTTACAGCCGTTATTTATTATTGTGGATTTAAATCTTGAATGCGTTTTCTCAATATCTACCAAGTTTTTTTTATGTTCCTCTTATAGAAAGCATGGCTACATATAGATCTACATGATCTTTATTTTTTGTGAACAAAGGTCACCGTTTTGGCAATAATCTTGAATTATTTCGATGCAATAGCTTTGTGCCATGAGGTACCAACAGTGGGAAATGGCTACCTCATACACTGCGGGGGTCAACTTTTTATATATATATATATATATATATATATATATATATATATATATATATATATAATTTTACCATTTGTAACTTGCATTTACCATTTATAGGATTATGGTCGTCTAGTTATAGCTCTCCCTGATCTCTCCGCAAGTTTACTTATTCTGACTCATTCACGCGTTGATTGACAAGCCCCCTTGCCTATTTCCTATTGGTTGGGTTCATTGAAAATACCTACATTTGTGCAGGTTGCAAGTCTCTGGGTACATTTCTTTTCCATTTTTTGTTCAGGAACGGAGCCGCAATTGACCACTGTGTGACGGGATGATTCACATGTTTGTCAAGAAGTGAAAATGGTAAACTCAGCTTGTACTCATTTTCACATTTCACATGCTGTTGCTTTTCTCGACTTTGGTCGTTCAATTTATCTTAAACAGATAGATCATTAATTATTAACTCAAAAAACATTTTAAAGTGTGGACTAATGATGGCGTAATAATCAAAATATGCAGAACCTCTTGTTTAGTTTTCTACTTTTAAATTAGTTTTTTGTCCGAGTTTCGCTTCCCAGATCTCATTCCAGTGCAGAGGTATTTCTCATTTATTTGAGGTGATAAACTGTTAAACATACCATTCTAGTGTGATAAAAAAAGCTAGAAGATTCGGTAATATAATCAAAATGTCTATGCTGATTGTGTGAAAGAGAATATTACAATTATAATTATAGATATAAAGAAGCTAGAGGTGCTACAACATCATGTACGTTTTCGCATATTGAATAGTTACGTAATATTGAAATATTGTAATTTCTGACATATTAAAAATTTAGTTATAACTTGAAGTACAATTCAAAAAATTCAAACAAAGTGCCTGCAATGCATTCCTGCGTCGATTTTGATAGCCAGGTACAGTAGTCATTTCTAACTTTTACAAATGTGACAAATATGAATAAGGTTAACTCTTACAGTATTAGCAGTCCATTATACAGAAAAGAAAGAATAATATTTCACACAAGTTTAACTTGGTTACATAGAAATGATCTAACAATTTTTGAATACCATAATTAGCGTTTAAAGCGTCTTACAATGAAGGAAATATATTTGTTAGTTCTACGTTAAATATATTAAGTTACTAAATCTATTTCCTTTCGTAAAAATGTTATATACACCATACGGTTAACACGACCGGCAATAATAACAAAAATTCTAAATATTTCCAAACACCGTGTTGACATTTTGCAAACTGACAGCGCGTCACACGAAGCGCGGGGAATTCGAATTTGCTGTATAGATTTCTTTTCCAAATTTGGAAAATACCCAGAGTGAGCCGAAATTGGGACCAAAACCATTTTCTTTAATGATCTTTGCTACATACATGGAAAACGTTTAAGAAAAAATATGGAGCAGTTTTTGAGAAAATAATTGTTTAAAATTATTTTCTCAAAATTATTTGACCTAATTGACTATGTTTGATTATGTTTGACACAAAATAACTCATATTTTCGAAAAACTGAACAAGATCTAATTTCAGTATTGTTTCAATTGGGAAAATATATTTATAATTCTAGTTGGAATAAGACGCCGAATAAATGTGAACTTTTGCATTTTTTTAATAAATCAGTGATTTCAAAAAATATGAGACCTACGTCATTCTCTTACGTGTGTTTTATGCTATCCAAGGGCAAAATTTTATTTTTTTAAATTGTCATTTTTTAAATTTTGCCAACGTGAAAATGTGTTGGAGACTTCATGTAAACTACCCTCTCCAAAAGAATAAAATATCTCTTTCAAATTCAAAGGGCCCACGGTCTCAGTAAGACCGATTAAGAATATTAATTTTGATGAAAATCCAGCTTATGGTTTAGGTGATAGCGTTTAGGTATAGCGAGATAGGTTTAGGTGATAGCGTCAGACGGACAAACGTTTAACTGTCAATCGAATTTTCGATATCAAGGATCCATAAAACATGGACACACAATGTTGGCGGAAATAACTTACCATACACAGGGGCAAGATGTATCCACTTCTTCCGTTTAAAATTTTAATTAAAACAATTGTTGTAATAATTTAATTGTTTAAAATTATTTTCTCAAAATTATTTGACCTAATTGACTATGTTTGATTATGTTTGACACAAAATAACTCATATTTTCGAAAAACTGAAGGAGATCTAATTTCAGTATTGTTTCAAGGGGAAAAATATCTTTATAATTGTAGTTGTAGTAAGACGCCGAAAAATGTAAACTTTTGCATTTTTTTAACAAATCAGAAATTTCAAAAAATATGAGACCTACATCATTCTCTCAAGTGTGTTTTATGCTATCCAAGGGCAAAATTTGTTGTTTTTTAAACTGGCTTTGTTTAAATTTTGAAAATGTTTTTGAGGCTTCATGTAAACTACCCCCTCCAAAAAAATAAAATATCTGTTTCAAATTCAAAGGGCCCGCGGTCTCAGTAAGATCGAATAAGAATATTAATTTTGATGAAAATCCAGCTTATGGTTTAGGTGAGAGCGTTTTTCACAGACAGACGGACATACGTTTTACTGTCAATCGAATTTTCGATATCAAGGATCCATAAAACACGGACTCTCATTACACAAAGTTGGAGGAAATAATTTACCTTACACAGGGACAGGGGTGTATCCCTTTTTTCCGTTACAACGGTCAGGATTTAGAATTTTTCAGTCGAAAATTCGCTTTTTTACCTGTAGTATTACAATACTTTATCTACACTGCGTAAGCAAAAGAGAGAAAGTAACGCGAGTGATAATAGAGCGCAAACCATAAATGATGTTAATTTCTGTACTTCCAATGGCACACAAAATCGTACGAGAGCTAAAATAATGTGAATATGTTGTTCAAAAGTTAGAAATATATAAAAATCTCACAGACAATGTAAGTTTTCATTATTTAGGGACTGTATATGTTTTGCCCTAAAACGTAGGTTAGCTATAACAAACTTCTAAAAGATTTGACTGGTAAAATAGATGTGTCAATAAAACTGATTCAAAATGGAATTTAAGACCTACTTTTTTTGACGCTTATGGCTTTTGTGCTTGTTTTAGGCTGAACTTAAAAAACATTCACTGGCCTTGACCATAGAAAGTTTCGGGAAATAAGATGCCACTTTTTTTAAATTTAGATACAAACAGCAGAAAACTACCGGTTACATAATACATCCTGTAGATAAAGAATAGTCCAAATTCTGCCGATTTTTGTATAGGTTTTGTAATGACTTATGGAAAACATCCAATAATGTCATTCCTAATGGTGTGGTTTTCTTTCGCCGATTCTAAAGTTTTCGAAGAAATTCCATTTCATTTGTCCTATCTACATTTCTTTTTTAGTAAATCGCTTTCTCATTTTTCTCATAGGTTCTAGGTTATAAGTAGGATGTTCGCAAATAAACACAGCCTAAAACTAGTTACTACATCACTGGGATGTCATCCTTCAACACCCGTAAAAATTAACTAATCGAAGAAAACAATTGCTTTGTGGGCAAATTGAAATAATATAAACAAAACTAATTATTTAAATTAATATTGAAGTATACAAAAAGTATATAAGAACTTGCCCCGGCTGGAGCGGGTCCCTGCTGGTGGGAGTCACCAGATTGGGAGAACGCCGCAAGCTGACGGACCTCGCCATTCTACGGGGGAAAGTTCACCGCCATCTCCCGGGATTAAAACACGCACTACACTCACTGGATTAATATTCTCAGCTGTTGACGCGCCAGAAAGCAGAAATTGATAAAACCTCTCCGTTCATGACTTCTCTCTCCTGCGTTCCCTGCTGCGCCCCCGGCCACCGATCCCGTCGCCGCATCCCGTCGCCGCATTTCCGTCGCCGCATCCGTCGCCGCATCCCCTCGCCGCATCCCGTCGCCCGCATCCCGTCGCGCGGCATCCCCGTCGCCGCATCCGTCGCCGGCATCCCGTCGCCGCATCCGTCGCCGACATCCCGTCGCCGCATCCCGTCGCCGCATTCCCGTCGCCGCATCCGTTCGCCGCTCTCGCCGCATCCCGTCGCCGCATCCCGTTCGCCGCATCCCGTCGCCGCATCCCGTCGCCGCATCCCGTGCCATTTCGCGCATCCGGGTCGACCGCATCCCGTCGCCGCATCCCGTCGGCCGCGATCCCGTCGCCGCAATCCCGTCGCCCGCATCGTCCGCGTCGCCGCATCCCGTGGTCCCGCAACCGCATCCCGTCCCCGCAGTCCCGGTCACCGCACCCCGTCACCGCATCCCGTCACCGCATCCCGCCGCACTCACGCATCCCGATCACCGCCATCCCGTCACCGCATCCCGTCACCGCAATCCCGTCACCCGCTATCCCGTCAGCATCGCCGCATTCCCTCACGTCCGTACCGCATTGTGCCCGTATGTGACCGCGTTGGCTCGTGTTCGTCAGTGGCGGACGCGACGGCCAAGCCACCGTCGGAGCTGCTGCGCGGCAACCTGCGCGTGCTGGGCGACCTGGACGGCTGCGTGGGCGTGGTGTCGCCGGGCGCGGTGGTGCGCGGCCAGTACTGCCTGGCCAACGTGCAAGTGGACACGGACGACGACACGTGGAACTACCTGCTCGACATCGCCACCTCACATCGCCGCGGCGGGAACGAAATGACGCGACATCGCGTGCAGCTGGTGAGTCTATCGCATGCCAAAACGTTAAACACGAATCGAGGACTAAACACTACACGCAAATCGACGACTAAAGAGTAATCCCAAATCGAAACCAAAACAATAATCCCAAATCAAAACCAAAACAGTAATCCCAAATCGAAACCAAAACGGTAACCCCAAAACAAAACCAAAATAGTAAACAAAAATCGAAAACAAAATAGTAAACGCAAATCGAAAACAAAATAGTAAACACAAATCGAGGTCAAAGCTCTAAACACGAATCGAAACCCTGTATTACATACAAATAAGACCAAAATGCTAAACACAAAAGAGATCAAAAAACTAAACACTATCGGGGGAATACACCTTACACAATCTCATGAAACATTACGATAAGTTGCATTAAAATAACTCTCTTTTTTAACGAGCTAACAAAGGGATGTACGAAGATAGGAGTATCCCAAAAAATAATTTTGTTTGAAAGTTACGGAAGTGTAATTACAAGATTATTGTTATTAAGATTATGAAAAAATATGAGAGATATATTCCATTAATAAGGATACATATTGATCGCAAATTTAGAGAAAATGACTTCTCGCTTCTTTCTTCGCATCTCTCTATCTTACGCGCTTACCCAAGAAGTGAGAGGCGAGTTGCCTAATCGCTAACCAAGACCATTTCCAGTTTTTGTCTTCAGGTATCAATTAAAATGTAGATTAGCTGTACCTTTATCCCTACTTACCCTGACTTTCAAAGGATCGTCTTTGGTGTATATCTATTTTAATACTACTTTTTTCTGATGATATATTTACTGCAAACTCTGTTTCAAAATGCTATTATATTAATTCTGCTTGAACCAAAAATGTTATCTATCAACACTATCAAAGGCAAATACTAAATACGTACTACTCACCCCAAATATCAAGTCTGATTGCAAGGATCATTTTACACGTAAAACCCTAATCATACCACACTAGTGGTTTTGTTGTTGTTATATTTTTTTAATTTAATACGTAGAAAAATTTGCCGTGAATACTTTATTCATTTGTCGCAAACAGTTCTTAAAATCCTTTATGAAATCGCTTGAAGAATTTGCATTCCCAGGTATTTAAACATGGTACTTGTAGAATATTAAAATAACATATCTTATCTGATTAATTTAAATAGTGTTTTCTTACATGTTTAAATTGTTCATTAATCTATTCAATGCAATAATGCACCCACCATTAAATCAAATAATTCATTATTAAATCCCATAAAATGCAGGGTACTGGAGAAATCAATATAATATAATTAATCTCTCAAGTTATCAGTAAGAAAATATGTAAAAATATTGAACAGGCGATCGAATAAGATAAACTATTGTATATCATTCATGGCTAAACGACCTTTGTGTGTTAGTTGGTAATTATACACTTGCGATACCGCGGTTGTTAATTATCAAATAATTAGCACCCAATGCTCTCTTAGCCACTTTTTCAGACAAATGTGGATGTGTCAGAATAATTATTTTAAGCTTGTAGGGCATGACGAGGTATCGGAGAGGATAACTTTTTGCTAATGTGCATGTGGTAAGAAATTTTGTATGAATAAGTTACACATATGAGAAGTACACCTATTTGATATTCGATATTATTAATATTTGATATTGATATTCGGCAGTATACGTCAAAAATTTTTGTAGTATATGAGTTGACTACTAATCAGAGTAAGATATCAATGTGGAACTTCGTTAAACAAAATTTCCGACATGTTCGATGAAAACTGTCATTATATTCGATCTCCCACACACCCTAGAAGTTTATAACATATATCCCGAGACATTCTAAATAATCGGCTAAACACCGGTTCTTCGATCTCCCATACACCCTAGACGTTTATAACATTTATCCCGAGACATTCTAAATAACCGGCTAAACACCGGTTCTTCGATCTCCCACACACCCTAGAAGTTTATAACATTTATCCCGAGACATTCTAAATAACCGACTATACACCCTAGAAGTTTATAACATTTATCCCGAGACATTCTAAATAACCGGCTAACCCCGGTTCTCCAATTGCCTCCCCGTCCGACGACTAGTGTTGAGGCGACGCGTGGCGTGCGCAGGGGCAGGCCATCTACCCGACGACGGCGCGCATGGAGTGGGGCGTGTGCGCGCCCGCCGCCTGCGCCGCCGCCGACGTGCAGGCCGCGCTCAACGCCGCGGCGCGCCGCCTGCTGGCCGGCACGCGCCTGCGCCTCGACTTCTTCGTGGCCGACGCCGCCTGCCAGCGCCGCCTGGGCTCCGCGCGCCCGCTCGGCCCCGCCGACCACGCCCTCCTGTGAGTGCTGCGTGTTGATGGCCAGGAAGGGTACAGGGCCGCTCAGAGTAAATGTTAGGGCGCCTTTCCACGCCGCCACGGCAGCGCGCGTACGTCAATCGGCAGGGCTCTTCGGCGACCCTCCGGCGACGTCTAACATAGGTGTCCGCAGCAGGTAAAACGCAGCGACCGGCGGCCGCAGTGGGAAGGCTACCATCTCGTAAAGAAGTATTCTGCTAGCGGTGGCGCGTACCATCTTCTCCACTTGGCGTAGCGTGAGTCTTGACGGAAGCGCGCTGCCGTCGCGACGTGGGAAGGCGCTCTTACTCACTTTTACCTTCTGCTGCGGAGTAGAGAGAAAGTTGTGTAATGTTTCGCGGAAAAACGGCGAATTTTTGGCAGAAAAATCTTATTTCAGGGCCCTAGTAACGAAAAGGTATTAAATTCAGGTGCTAAATTTAGGGGGAAAAATCTCTAACATGTGACGTAACCAGAATCCATGTTTCGGGGATCCCTGATACCGAAAAATCTAATGATGGCAAAACTTCTGTCTATCCTGTCCGACTGAACAATGCTAGCGGCTAAAACGTTCAACCGATTTTCTCCAAAATTGATATTCTCAATCGATCTAGCTAATGTCGTGGCGCCTTGAATTTGAAACATATTTTAATTTATGGATATACTTTACATGAAACCCTTGGGACATTATCCAAATTTTCAAACAAAAGGCTTCATCATTTTTTATTAAATTTTGTTGTTGGATAGTGTAAAAAACGTTTAAGAGCGAGTTATGATGCAGGACGCATGTATGTTAAAAATCCTGCTTTATCGAAAATTGCAAAAGTTCAAATAATTTTTTTGAGTCTTCCTACAACAAAAATTTTAAACATTGATATTATTTCACTAATTCAGATCCTTTCCATTAAGACAGATTTTGAAATAAGGTCATGTACAACTTTTCGAAAATTTTAGTACTTTTCGCGTAATATTGCGTGAAATCGCGGACGACAAAGTATGTGCTGTTTTATCACCACTAGCAAGACTTACTAGAAGCACCTGGGGTCCGCGCACTCGCTTGGCCTCGCCGGCCTCGCCGTCCAGCGAGTGAGCCAACAACATAGAAATGCTGCGATGTTGGTTGGGAATGGTACAGGGCACCTCAGAATAAATGTTTTAAATTTCTAGGTTTCCATTGGTATGTTTGGATCAGGGGGTCTCAGAGTAACTGTTGTAAATTTCAAGGGTTTCTTTGATTTGTTTGTATTTACGGGGGCGTCAACTGTTCTGATCATTACCATAACCAATTAAAATGAGAGATCCGGTGCTGACCACAGCTTGCGGAGTATGTACCTCCAAAATTCTCCGCCAGCGGGATACTGCCCTAACGGGAACAAGCTCTCAGCTCCCGACTGGCATATCAACATGTGTGGAAGTGAATAGCATATAAGTGAATGACTCTGTGTGTGTGTGTGTGTGTGTGTGTGTGTGTTTGTGTAAAGGGAGAGGAGGTACAAGGATGATGCAGAAAAGAAAACGCGCGGTCTATGTCCCGCTAGCATGGGTACTGATCCTGAATGTCCGTAGTATTTATCACGGAAAATTACCGATAAACTCTGCCACTGGGATTCCCCCTCTAGGGAGCGTCTAAATTCAACCTATCTAGCAAGCAAGTATCAAAAACCGCCACCATCGGAACTCAAACCCTACAACCTGCCGGTCAATATCACTGCAGTGGCAATAGTTGCACAAGCCAATCCAGTCGGTCGAACTTCTAGGTTGTATAGGGGGGATGCATATGATCATTTTTGCCAATGAGATTAGCAGACAATAAGTTGATCATAAAGTCAATTTGTATATGTGAATGAAAGCAGAATATATGAGGGAATGAAAAGCAGATGAAACGCCTCCGACGACACCTACAGGCAAAATTTTTATTCCAACGGAATGAGACAGGTGTTCCACAGGTTATATCTGTGTTCAAATTCCTTGTTTTCTAACACTAGCGGTTCTCTGTAAGTATCGGTACCTGTGCATAGTCTGTATGGATTGCGGGAATGATTTTATAACATTCATGAAATTTGGAAACGCAGGAAAAAATATCTTATTCACATAGATGAGAACGCAGATTAGGAGTTTTCTAACCAGTGATAGCAAAATTATTTCATGTACTAGAATCAATGTGACGTAAGGCCTAGAATCGATGTGTATTTTTATATCAAACCTCAGCTCAGTGTACTAATGATAAAAATCACTAAGAAGAAGTGATCTGCAATATTGCTCGAGGAAATCTTCATTTTTCTTCATTAATAAGTGACGTACAGCAGCAAAAATTTTGCTACCAAGCAAGTGAAAAATGGAGTTCTCAAACGGTAAATATTGTCTGTTCTAAAAGATCACATGTGAAAACTTAAGCTTTTTTATTTCTCGTCACCTGTCATTGGATGTGTAGTGAATAGTGACGCACTGAATATGAGAATATAATCTTAACATTAGGTATGAGATTTAGAGAATTAACATAATCAAATATTTCCATTTTTCAGTCAAACTCGAATCTTATTCTTTTGTATTTTCCCTAGACCCCGGTTACTAAAATCACTGACATATCGCCAGAGACTGCATAGTTCACCGTCAATTCGTGCGTATATTCGAAAGTAGTAATATAGACTTGTTTAATTAGAATGCTGACATTTATGTCGTTTCAAGAAAAAATATCACTCCTACCAGAAAATAATAACATAAATTAGTTGTCGAAACGTTGTTTTCAGTAAATGATAAAAATAAATGTGTGAACGCTACTTTTCCATTCGTATTTATGTAGATTATTGTAAACCGGTCATCTAACCAATCAAAAAAGGGATAGTGTATTGTCTTACTAAAGAATGTTCTGGTACGTGAGAAATCAAATCAGAGTGTGCGTTTTAACGATTTTTTTATAAATGTTTCAGAGCAGTTCTTGTCATCACTCTTCTGCTCATAGCTGTTGGAACTGCTTATGATGGACATTGCACGGAGAAACTTACAGAAGACTCAAGTGAGTACACAATTTAAAAAGATGGAGTTGACTATTTTAAATATAATTTTCAACCTTTTATGTAAATTTGATGCTAGTAATATTTTGCACAAAAATATTATATACATTTCTTTTATCAAATTCTAACAATTAGTTTGTAAGTGCAATACATAGCCGCATTAAGTTGTGAATCGTGGGATGAATTTCATACTTACGATCGTATGACACAAATTTTTGAAAATTTGTGCAAATCTCCCCACAAAACACAGATTAAGAAGCACAGTTTTGTTTGTCGATGGAGAGAGAACAGATTTGGAAATAGAACAACTTTACTCCGTTTTTTACAACCGTCCCTTTTTTGCGCCAAGCGGATGTGGCAACACAGTATTAGCCCGACTATATATCCTAAATTTCACTGAGTCTCTTGGGACATAGCCATTAATGATTTTGAAACCACTTTTTATGGTATCCGAACCAGTTTTCATTCTTAAACTATTCTCCATAGAGAATATAGCTCCCTATGCCCCCCAGCCAAGGCAGATTTCTCAGATGTAGGGCGCTTTTTTAGAACTTCAAGACTTTCACAATGTCTCCACTTTATGCTTTCAGTGCTTAATATATAACCATATTTTTAATACGTTTGCAATGAGACCAAAGAAAAACCAAAGGAGACCCAGCTCTAAAATGTATGACCACCTACATGCTTGTTGAGATCTTATTTAACTGATCTATTTTGGTACACCTGGAGAGACCGTTAAGTAAGAAAAAGTTTCACGCAATAGAGAACCACGTCAGTGTGGCAGCGTTTGATATTATGTCTAAATCTGAACGCAAAATAAATTTTACTATTCGAAAATTTTAAAAGTTTAAGAAGAAAATGATTATTTATTATAAAAAGGACCTCACGTCAAATAATCTTTAAAATTTCTTAACTCTCTATTGTTAAATCCTATTAGTGATTACTCTCACTGATTTCTCCAACATACACGAATACTGATATACATATACTGACATTTTGGTGCACTGCATTTCGACCTGTAGCAAGGCCGCCATGGAATCCAACCGAGCTTCAGTTTATTTCATTCAAAAGCCTCTTGATCATGGAGTATTTAAGAAAGAGACTCGCCTCCAGAGGTAGCACTGGCGAATCGAGGAGGGGGCATGGGGGCAAAGCCACCCACCCTAAAAGGCCTAGAGTTTTCGTTTATTCGGTCCTTTATTTGGAAAAATGATTTTAATATTTATTTTCGAATTATGTAATTATTTAAATAATAAGGTATAGTATCATATCTACAGAACATAAATAATAT